GGTGGCTCAAGTGGTTAAGACGCTGAACTGCAGGCTGTGGAAGCTCGGTAGTTCAGCAGTTCGAGGCCCGGGTGCCGCAAGACGGAGTGAGCTCCCATCTCTAGTTCAAGCTCCTGCCAACCTAGCAGTTCGAAAGCAAGAAATTGCAGGTAGATCAATAGGTACCACTTCAGTGGGAAGGTAACAGCGTTCCGTGCGCCTTGGTGTTTAGTCATGCCGGCCACATGACCACGGAAACGTCTTCGGACAGCGCTGGCTCTTCGGCTTTGAAATGGAGATGAGCACCGCAACCCTAGAGTCGGATTCGACTGGCTTTCGAGCAAGGGAACCTTTACCTTTCCCTTTATATATTAGCCTATTGTTCTTAATCTCGAACTGTATTTTTTGCTTGTTCCTATTTTGTACGATGTTCGAGTATGCCAACAAAAGGTATGACTGACTGACCGACCGGCTTGGCTCCCATCCCCCTGTGGCAGCTGTCCAAAGGTGTCTGCAGGGTCCAAAATGCTGGGGGCTTCTGGTTTAGGGCAAGCAATATTGTTACCCTTCCGGAAAAACTGGCTACTGATCGAGGGGGCAATTTTTGCACTGATGCTGAAACAACGGCACCCAAGACAACGGCACCCAAAACTCAGAGTACAGCGGCACCAGTATCAGTGCAGATTGTTTTAAAATGATGTTTTAAGGTTTCAATTCATTATTTATTATCATCCTTGTGTTGCCCAAGGGCCTAACTATTGGTGTGATCCGCTGTGAGCCCGTTTGCGGGGAAGGCAGACTATAAATTTGAATGGATGAACGAATGAACGATCATATTGTAAGCAAGAACGTTTATTTATTTGTTCAATTTTTATCCTGCCCTCCCCACCGCAGGCAGGCTCAGGGCGGCTTACATTAAGGATTAAAAATATTAAAACACAAGTACTATACCGTACAGCGTCATAACTTACAAACATACCAAGTCATAGCTCAAAATAAAATAAAATAAAAATAAAGTGCCAGTGGCAATAACAACCCGGTGGCCATGATAGGATGTTCCCAAAAAATGGCTCCCGTCAGCGTCCGGCATAGTTAGTTAGTATTATTCAGTTCAGTTAGTATCGTTCATGTTATTGAACTAGCCGAACTAGCCTAACAATGCCTGAGACTCCAAGTGAAGGGCGGGGTATAAATCCAATCTCTTCTTCTTGTTTTCCAGGTACCTGGGAATAACCCGTCCTTTGACGTACCCCGTAAGACAAGATGGGAAGCTAATGGCCAAGATGGTGGTCATCGTCTGGTTTCTCTCTGCCTCCATCACGCTCCCTCCTCTGTTTGGCTGGGCTAAGAACATCACCGTGGAGCGGGTCTGCCTCATCAGCCAGGACTTCGGCTACACCGTCTACTCCACCGGCGTCGCCTTCTACATCCCCATGGCGGTCATGCTGGCGATGTACAACAGGATCTACAAGGCGGCCAAAGCCAGCGCGGAGAAGCACCGGTTCATGGACCTCACCAGACACCATGACCAGGACGGGGCGTACTGCATCGAGATCAGCATCCGCGGCCAGCACGCCACCAAGCGGGACAAAGCGGCGGAGGAGTGCGCCACCCTGTCCAAGCTGCTCCGCCAGGATCGCAAGAACATTTCCATCTTCAAGAAGGAGCAGAAGGCGGCCCGGACTCTGGGCATCATCGTCGGGGCCTTCACCTTTTGCTGGCTCCCCTTCTTCTTGATGTCCACCGCCAGGCCGTTCATCTGCGGCAGCCGCTGCAGCTGCATCCCCCTGAGGCTGGAGAGGACCCTCCTCTGGCTGGGCTACACCAACTCGCTTATCAACCCGTTGATCTATGCGCTCTTTAACCGAGATCTGAGGACTGCTTTCTGGAGCCTGCTCCGGTGCAGCTACCGTAACATCAACAGGAGGCTGTCCGCCGCAAGCATGCACGAGGCCTTGAAAGCCACAGAGAAGCACGAGTGCATACTTTAAGACTCCGGACCAGTCTGACTTTTCCTTGTGAGGGTTTTGAAGTTGGCCATGTGCCCACTTCCTGGAGTGGTTGCTCACCGTGGATCATAGACTTGGGGAGGGCTCACCGCTGTCAATAGGGGAAATCGCCCTAACAAAAGGCAACTTTTGTTGAGTTTCCCTTTAATATCGGGGACTGCTACTAGCCCACTAAAAATATGTTGTCGCAGGCGTTCACGGCCGGAGTTCATTAGTTGTTGTAGATTTTCCGAGCTGTATGGCCGTGGTCTTGGCATTGTAGGACTTGACGTTTCGCCAGCAGCTGTGACTGGCATCCTCAGAGGTAAACAGAGAAAGACGGAGTACTCTCTGTGTCAAGGTGAGAAGAAAAAATGGTAGGCAGGTAATTTTTATCTACTCAGGAAGGTGGGGTAGGGCTGAGTCATTATCTTGTAGGCTGTGATATTCTAATGTTTTCCTGAGGAGGTTCTTTTGCATATGGATTGGCTGCTGAAATTCTAATCTTATCTATACTGCTATTGTAAGATGTAGAGCATTTTCTCTCGGAGGGACGGTTCCCTGAAGCATTCAAGGAAGCGATGGTCCGCCCTCTCTTGAAAAAACCATCTTTGGACCTGGCCGAATTGGCCAACTATCGGCCGGTGTCCAATTTGCCCTATTTGGGCAAACTTATTGAGAGGGCGGTGGCGACACAGCTGCAGGGCTTTCTGGATGATGCTTCCGTCC